CGCCGTCTGCGGGTGGTGGGCGCAGGCCGCGGCAGCCGCAGCGTGGGTTTGGGTGTTTTTTCAGCAAGGTGTGGGGTGGGCAGCTACCCGCCGAGCTGTTGCCAGCAGTTGCCGGCACGTCCCTGCCACCTCACCGCCCCACCTGCTGCTACCTGCCCCTGCCACCAGCCACACCGCGCCCACCCCCGCTCACCGTCCCCCACCATCTCGAACAGCAGGCTGAAGCCGCTGTTGACGGTGACGCGGCCGTAGCCGTAGCGTACCGCCGCGTACTCCAGCCACTCCTCCTGGGCGTGGGACACGTCCGTGAGCTTCCGCCCAGCACAGCCCACCTGCGGGCGAGGAGGGAGGGACGGAGGAGGGGTGGGCTGGTGAGACTGGCGGGCGGTGGAGGTGGTGGTGGGTGGTGGTGTGGTGCCACGTGTGGTGAGGCGGGAGCTGATGCGGGGGCCCGCGTGACCAGCCAGGCAGGCAGGCGCTGTTCTCAGGGGTGGAAGGCCGCCGGGGCGCAGATCCGCCCTGCGAGCGCTGCAGGCAATCAACCCTTCCGTCGGAGCGCTGCAGCGCAGCAGCTGAGCGCAGGCGGGCGCGCTCACGATGATGTGCGTCATGCCGCCGCGGTCTGCGGGCACGCAGTGCTCGTCCAGCACGTTGCAGGTGCGGCTGCGGGGAAGGGGAGGAACGTGAAGAGAGAATGGTGTGTGGTAAAGGGAGGCATGTGTGTGTTTGGCGGCGGGTCGGGAGGTTGGCTGTGGTGGGGCAGGCGACGCCGGAGGGGGCAGTGGCAGACCAGCCACCGGATGTCTGCCCACCTCCCATCTCCCCCCCACACATCCAGCGCCATCACACACCATGCATCCACACACATGCATCCACACGCACCTGTAGCTGTGGACGTGCCCGCTCAGCACCAGGTCCACCCGGTGCTCATCCAGCAGCCCCTCCAGCTGCTCTCTGCACACACCCAGGCAGGCGGCCAGGCGGGACTAACAGGCGGTGAGCGAACCCCAACGGGCGGGGCCGTGCTGGGCGCATGTGTGAGCCCCGGCCGCCCAGTCACCCACCTACTCACTCACCAACACGAGCCCCTCGCCCTCCCACACAGCCGCCTCGGACGGGAGTATCCCCACCCTCACACCCCACCCACCCCGCGCCATACGAACACCACACCCACCGCCCACCTCAGGTGGTCCCCCACGATTCTGTTGCTCTTGTGCGGGTACACCACATACATGGGGCGGTGCATGGACAGCACCACCCAGGGCGTGGAGCAGCGGTCCACCAGCCGCAGGTCGCGCTCCAGCCACTGCGAGGCGGGGTGGGGAGGGTGGAGGGCGTGAGGGGGAGGGCTGGGCCAGCAGGGGAGCGGCAGAGGCGGGGAGGGACAGGGGCTGGTAGTGCGAGGCCTGGGAAGCATACACCTGCGCGACAGCAGGCCAGGCAGCAGGCTGCGGCAACGGGGCGGTCAGCAAAGGGCAACCATGTAACCACAATGGGACCCAGGATGAAAGTTGTACCGCTGCGGTACACCCACCCTGTACTGCCTGGACCCAGGGCGAAGGTCGTGCTCGGTCGAGATGACTACGAAGTGCACGCTGCCGTGGCTGAAGCTGTACCAAAAGGGCGGGTTGGGGCGCGCCGGCGGCAGCGCGTTGAGGCTATCACCCCCCGCCGCCGCCGCCTGCTCCTCCTGCTCCTGCTCCTGCTGCTGCTGCTGCTCGGCGGCGGCGGAGGCCAGCAGCGCCACGGCGTCGGGGCCCAGCGTCGGGTTGCGCAGCCTGCTGCTGCTGCTGGCCCTGCTGCCGCCGCGGCTGTTGCCAGTGCCACCACCCTTGCTGCCGCTGCTGCTGCTGCTGCTGCTACCGCCGCTGCTGCTGCTGCTGCTGCTGCTGCCACTGGTGCTGCTGCGGGTGATGCCACTGCCATGCGTCCAGTAGCCGTAGTCTGAAACGTCGGGCATCACAAAGCGGCGGCTGATGGCCACGCCGCACTCCCCTCCAGAGTCGTTGCCTGCTCGGGGAGCGCAAGGGGCACGCACGGTCAGGGGGCAGGCAAGGGAGCAGAGCGTGAGGGCAGGCAGCAAACGCATGTAGCAGGGATGCGAGCGGGCTGGGCAGCACACGGCCCAGAGGGGCGGGATGCCAGCCCACGCTCGGCCGCAGAGGGTGCAGAGCAGGCAGAGCACATTGACAGGCGTTGCAAGCAGCCCGCCTGCCGTGGGGCTGCCGCACCGTAGTTGGACCAATCTGGGCGGTAGGGGGAAGTCTCGCCAGATGCGTCGGGGGAGGCCCTGGGGCCCCGCTCATAATCATACTCTGCAGGCAGGTGGGAGGGCAGGCATGCGCAGGGCGAGGGCTGGCAAAACGGGGTGGGTGGGGGGTTGAGGTGTGGTGCGATGCACGGGGCGTCAGCGGCGCGAGAGCGGCGGATGCGCGGCGGGGCCGCAGGGCAGGGCTGGGGCGCACCGTGGTTGCCCACCGCGACCTGCAGGCGGCGGCAACGGGGGGGGAGTCAGCGGCGCCGCGGCGGGGGGGCTTGCGTCGGCGGCGAGGCGCTTTCCATGCAGGCAGCCCTCGCCACACACCCTCTCTCGAGTCCAGGCATGCTTCCCAGAGCAGGCTAGCTACCCCCTCTTAAATGCCTCATCATCAGGCAATGGAGCGGCTCACCATATAGGGAATGTGGCGGGCAAAGGGCTCAATCGAATCCATGAAGGCATCCCAGATCTGCTGGCGGGCAGCACCGGGAGGGGCTGGCGGGCTGTCGGCGGCGGCCCAGGGCACCGCCAGCGGCCGAGGCACAGCGCCACGGCAGGCAGCAGCGCGCCCCGCTGTCCCGCCCGAGGGCAGGAGGCGGGCAAGCAGGGCGCGGCGCGATGGAACCTCTGTTCTGAGGGAGGGTGCGATGCGCCGCCGGGGGTCCTGACTGGAAGCATGCACAGCGCAGCGTATGCACAGCGCAGCGCATGCGCAGCGTGGCGCAGCGGGCACAGCGTGCGCACCTCGTTGCGGCCGTTGGCATACGAGATGTCGCCCACATGCATCACCAGCTCCGCCCCCGCCTCGTACTCCTCCTGCAGCTGCGCCACGGTGCGCCACGCGCTGCGGGCGGGCGGCGCGGGGGGGCAGGGAGGCGCGGGAGGAGCAAGAGGGGTGGGGAACAGCGGGCCAAACAGGCGGGCGCGGCAGCGGTGCGCCGCTGGGGGAGAGGTCGACACCCTGCTGCCAAGCGGCCATGCCGGTGTGTTTCTGGGCACACCATACGGTGTGTTTCTGGGCACGCCAGGCGCCTGCCACCAGCCTCCGCCAGGAAAAGGCGGCGGCTGGGGCCGGCAAGACGGTTAAAACACACACTGGGAAGCGGCCACCCACCCTGGCGACTTGGCCTCTTTGTGGTCCGAGTCCCCCATGTCTCCAAACACGAGGAAGCGGAAGCTGTGGGTAGGGCCCGCGGGCACCGGCGCCACAAACTCAATCGGAATGCCGCCCTCGATCTGCGGCCGGCGGCAGCAGAGGAGGCAAGAGAGGGAGGCGGCGGCGGCAGGGTGAGGGCGGCGGCGGCGGGGTGTCGGGATGGAGCTGCGCGCGGCGTGCCGGCTGCGCGAGCCTGCCGCCGAGGGACAGGCGGCTGCCACACATAACCGACGCTGGGCACGCCACACGCGCGCACCCACATTGCGCACACCACCGCCCGACCACCCAACCCATTGGTCCCCACCTGATAGAAGTGCCGCTCTCCCGGCTCCAGCCCCGTCAGCACCGCGGTGTGCAGGTAGGCTGTGCCAAAGTGCAGCGTGCGGGCCGGGGCGGAGCACATGTCGTCTGCGGTGTAGGTGTGCTGGGAGCCTGTGTGGGCGGTAAGGTGGGTGGGGTCGATGGGGGTGGAGGAAAGCGCGGCGGCGGGACCAGAGATGACGCCAGAGGGGCAGCTGCCCGCCGCCGTCTTCCAGCTCACGCGCAGCTCCGTGGGGTTGCCCGTCAGGCTGACGTGGATCTGCAGCGGCAGGGTTGGTGCCTGTGAGCGGCGGGCGGGTGGCGTGTGGCGGCAGCCCTGGCGGCGGCGACGGCGGCCCCACTCCGCACTACACCACCCCTGCTGGCGAGCAGCAATCAGCCCTATGACCATCGCCAGCAATGCAGCAGGGCGAGGGGCGAGTGCGCTGCAAAGCAGTGGGTTCGAAGCAGAGGGCATGCCTAAGAGAGGTCTGGGGCGCACCTGCTGCGGCGTGCAGGGCCCGCTGGCAACCCTCGCATCCCCCCCGAACGCCCTGGATTGCGCCAGGCAGGTGCCGAGCAACAGGGCCTGCAGCGCGAGCGCAACTGCGGCCAGACGCCTGGCCATGGCGCCCAGGACGATGGGGAAAGGGCTGCTGCCGCTTATCAGCGTCTGGGTCGGTGGCCCGGTGCGGTTTGTTGAGAGGTGGGAGACGGCCGCCACGCAAGCCGCAGGTGTTGAGGGCGGGAAGGCTGGAGACACGCCTGGGTTGCCGTTCAACAGCCTACATGACGACAGGGACGCGCGCATTGACCAATGACCAATCGATGGGGGTATATTCTGTCGGCTGGCGGCAGCGCCACGCAGCCACCGCCGCCGTCCATCCTCCCTTTCAAGCAGCACCCCCCCATCAGTAGTGTTACAATGTGGTGCAAGGAAGAGAGGGCCCCTTTGGAGTGCTGTTGTCTAGCCGGACGAGGTCAGAACACGGGTGGCGCGCAGCCGCCCGCCGCGTGTCGTGCGGGCAGCTGCCGCGCTCGGATGTGCAACAGGTGCCAGGGCGCGCTGAAGCAGCTGCTGGGCTGGTGCAAGGTCAAGTCAGGGTAAGTCGGGGAGGGTCTGGGGTTGGTGAGGCACGGGAGGGGAGGGGGCACACAGCTATGCTGACTCGCTAATCAATGGGAGGGCGGGGTTATCGACAGGGGGGCATGGACGGGGGGGGTGGGAGGGTCTGTGCGCTAGCACTAGGAAACAATCGCAAGACAGGGGGGGGAATGTGCAGAGCTCACTGCGCTGGGACATGTCCACACAGCTGGTCTGGGAAAAGCAGGGGACGCGTTCTATATGCATATGTGCAAATGGGGTTTCAAGGGGGT